TATATATATATATATTAGTTTTTAATTATATATTTTATATCAAATTTTAAGATTATATGATCTGCATCAAACTAAATAATTATTTACTAAAATATTATATTTAGTGTGTTTAATCATATTTTTATCTAATTCTAATATGATATTCTAAGCCATTATTGTGTGTCTAGCTATATTCATTGATCACTTGACTAAAAATACTAAAGTCAAATAAAATTGAAAATGCCAAACTTATTTCCTTTTTTTTGGTGAATTTGCTAAACTTATTTAAGGAATGGTTTTTATTGCCCTCTAATTAAAAATGAAAAGGCTAATTGTCTCCATTAAAAATCAAATATCTTAAGTTTATTAGATTAGATTTTCTCATGTTAAAAATATTTTCCTACATTAGTTAGATTTTTTCATGCTGAGACTTTATGTAGTAACATAACGAGTTTTTTTTTTTTTCCTTTTTCATTTCCAGTAGCATTTGAATTCTTAGCACACTCTTCCACATTCATAGCCATCAAACTATAAAATCCAAGGTAACACGTGAATTATACACACACGCACACCACAAAATACCCTATCTTGTAATCTCTTAAACTTGTTATTTGCTACATCTTTGCTCCTCACATTTCTTGCTCCACGTGATTTATTTCCTTGTTTTCCAACACCAGTTTTGCACCTTATATATGCAACCATGGCATTAGGTCCGGACCAAGCATTTGAAATATTTTCTCATTTTCCAGCAACAACAATTTTCAAGTTTAGACATCTAAGCAAGTCATTCTCCAATCTTGTTGAGGAAACATATTTTGTGAAGAAGCAAATCCACAACTCGTTGGAAAAAGATAACACATGTTTCTTCCTTCAACACGAGACATCTCAGAAGTATAACAACAGAGTTAAGTTTTACCCGTTACCAGGTAAGCAATCATCTTCAAATGTGTTTAGAGATGTTTTGGAGTTTTTGTCATATTCAAGCAAAGTTTTAGCTTCTACCAAGGGATTAATTATTTGCCGCACAACAAGTAAGATACCTACTGAGCTTTTTATTTGCAACCCAGCAACAAAGTGTTGGTTGCCTATTCCTTCCCCCGTGCAACTTCAAGAAAATCCTGACATTGATTTGATAATTTTATTGTTAGAATGTTATAACGATTCTGATGATTATATGGTGCTTCATTTTGAGAATCCAACTGATTGGTTCACATCAAATTATGCCTGTAAGATTTTGAAGCCTGAGGAAGGCATATGGAAACCAATGGAGAAAAGTTTCTTTGCTGGTAGAAGGAGCGTGAAGTTTAACATGCCTGTGCATCAAAATGGAATCATCCATTTCATTTCAGATTGCTTCCCTTACCTGACTAGAAGGAGCCCTTATTTTGAACCCTATATAATGTCCTATAATCTTCATAATGGCACCTCAAAAATGCTAAAGCTGCCACAAAATGCTAGAAAAGTCTCGTATGACGTGAATTGTGACATGGGCATTTTCAATTGGGGTAAGGTATCAACGGGAGATTCCTCCATTTGTTTGGTTAGACTCAAAGGGTCTACTTTTAAAGTTTGGATTTTGAAAGATTATGGATCAAATAGGTGGATGAGAATTTTGAAGGTAAGAATAGAAGACATGGGTTTAAGGGAGGAATGTCCTAAAATAAAGGGGTTCACAGTTATGAACGATGCTCTTCTAATTTTTGCGACCGAAAAAAGGATCCATAGTTGTGGCTTAACCAATAAAAACTATATGAAAATTGAAAAAATATGTGAACACGAATGTAAATCTAATGTTTGTTTTACTCCTTTCTTAGATACTCTTCGTCCGTGTGGACCCGAGGCTACAACTTTGCATTTGCCCTAGAGATTCAATCATACAATTATTGTCTATAGAGAGAAAATATGTTAACTCGGTTTTGTTTCTTTATATTGTTTTTTGTTTTTGATTGAATAACACTTTTTTATATTAATTTACCATTTTATTTTTTTTATTATCTCCTGTATAAATTACTTGGACATTGTTTATTGG